GGCCCAGGGAGCACCACCCCTCCTGCCAAGATCCTTCCCTCTGCAGTCAACGCCCATCGAAGCCTGCCCTCTTCACTCTCCACCCTCCCGGGGTCTGTCACCCACCTAGCTGGTATCCACCCATTAACCACCCCAACATCTCTCCATCCCCCAATCACTCACCTAAGGGCCCATGAGTTATTAGGCCAAAGACACCTGCCCACTGTCCGTCTACCCAATGAACCACCCATGCAGCTGCCCACATGAGAGCCCTCTTTTTTTTCAGAACCAGGGTCTCACTGTCTCCCAGACTGGAGTGCAGTGTGGCATGATCACGGCTCACTATGGCCTGGACTTCCTGGGCCCAAGCGATGCTCCCACCTCAGGCTCCCAAGTGCCTGGGACTGTAGGCATGTGCCACCATGCCCAACTCATTTTATTTTTTAATATTTTGCAGAGATGGGGTCTCACTCTGTTGCCCAGGCTGGTCTCAAAGTCCTGAGCTCAAGCGATCCTCCCACCTCGGCCTCCCAAAGTGCTGGGATTACAGGCATGTGCCACCACGCCCGGCCCCTCCTCCTGTCTTGAGCCCATCTCCTACCTCCAGGCTTCAGACCAGAGGGAGGAACAGATGTAAGGGTACCCAGGGAGAAAGGAGGGCTTCTTGGAGGAGGAGTTCTGAGGGGTGATGTTGGGGGCTGAAGAAGGACATGTATTCTGGGCAGAAGGAAGCGGGTGTGCCAGGCCTGGAGTTGACATTGAATGTAGGGTTGTGTGTCTGGATGGTGAGAACCACAGGGAACCCGGAGCTGTGGCCAAGGGGTGCCGGGGAGCCCTGAGGGTGGGCAGTGGGGGCGCCGCACCTTCAGCAGCAGCTCCACGACGTCCATGTGCACCAGCCCCAGCACCGACTCCCCGTTGATGTGGGTGATGAGGTCCCCGGCCCGCAGGCCAGCCTCCTGGGCGGGGCTTCCATCCTCCACACTCTGGGGGCAGACAGGGGAACAGTGAGGTTAATGGCCTGGGTCCCACATCAGGAGACCCCAGCCCAGGCTGGGTCTGCTGTTGGACCCCAGCAAGCTGCTGCCTCTTGTGTTGCCTCCGTTTCCCTGATCCTGGGGAATTCCTACTCACCCATCAAAGCCCCAGCTCCTATGCCCCCTCCTCCAGAAAGCCCTCTCTGTCTGCTCAGGGAGCAACCAATAAGGAGGGCATGCCCCGATGCCCCTGGGCTGGGGGAGGGAGGATAACACGCCCAGTGCGTCCCCATATGGAGCTGGGAGGTTAATGTCACTTGGGATCTGTGAGCCTCCATCCATCCATCCCTGTCTCTCTCATCCAGCCTTCTCCCTACCAACTGACAGGGACCAAGATGAACTCGGTGGCACCAGCTCTGTCTCCCTAATCCTGCCAGGCTCCAAAATGCAGCTCTGAGAGGGGTGCGACCGGGCAGAGTCAGACTAGAACCCGGGTCCCTGCCATTCCCACTCGGCACTCACCCAGACGACGTGGTGCACAGCGTAGACGTCGCTATCACCCATGTAGACGCGGATTGCCCGCAGGCTGAAGCCGTACTTCTTGCCGGAGCTGTGGATGACGATGGGGGGCCGCAGGTTGCCACACACGGGGGACGGGTCTCGGCTCGGCGAGGAGTCACGGGACGACGGGTTCGAGGACAGAGAGCGCGGGGACAGGGGGCTCATGAGGGGGCCGCCGCTGCCATCATCTGCAGGGGGTTAGGGAGGGGGTCACCCATTCCCTCGCAGGTCTCCCCTGGGGCCCCCTCTTTCCCACCCTGGCCGCTTTGCTATTGCTTCAACGTCCCAAGCATGGTCGCCCCATCAGGCCTTTGCACGTGCAGTGCTCTCTACTGGGAACACCGTCCCCCCAGCTCTCCCTGTGTCCTGTTCCTCCTCCCCTCTCCTGGGGCTCATCCCCAGCCTCCCCTACTCAGGGTAGGCTCCCACTCTGTAGGTTAAAATGGGTGCGGACAGACAAAGGTGAGAGCGGGCCTTGGGCATTACCTGCCGTGATGATGAGGGACAGGGCAGAGACAGAGGCCGACTTGGGCACACGGCCCCCACCGCCGCCACCACTGCCACCGCTGGAGGAGGCTCTGGACTTCTCAGGGCCTGGGTCTCTTGGGCCCCCAAGGCGGCGGCCCCGGCCGGCATCCAGAGGCCTCGGTGTGGAGTGTCGGGCGCCGATGCTGTTGCTCCGTAGGCGGGCGTGGCTGAGGGCAGCTGTGTCGGCTAGAGGGTCAGCAGGGTCAGCCGGGAGCCCCTCAAACTCACCACGTGGTCCTAAAGAGATCTTAAGGCCCTTCCTCCCTGGTTGCTATTTACACAGGCCAGCCTCCTGACCTTTGCTCGTGCAGTTCCCTCGTCCCACATACCATTCCCAAATTATTCTCTATGCAAAAGTCTTCAAGCCCCCTCTTCCAGGAAGCCTTCCTCCACACCCATTTAGGCCCTTAGTTCCCCCATCTTGGGAACTAGGGGTCCCATCCTGACTCTATGAAGCTGGGGGCATTACCCTAGACTGGGGTTCCTTGGAGGCTGGAGGTCTCTCTGGGACCCTGGCTTCTCCTCTCTTAAAGCCTTTGTTGGCTCTGGAGAACTCCTACTCATCCTTGAAAACCCATCTCAAATAGCCCCTCCTCTGGGAAACTTCCATGACATCATCCCTCTTACTCAGGGTCCCACTTACCGGAAAGGCTCGAGGGCTTGGGCATCACTGGGGTGGCTGCTGGGGGTGGGTCAGGCTCCCCTAGAATGAAGACAGGCCTCTTGGGGCCTGCAGAGGCCGGGCCTGCCGCCTCATCCTCTGATGAGAAGGCAAACTTGGGCATTGTGTCCAGGCTGATGGTATTCAGGAGAGATGGGCTGGGACCTCGCTCGGGCTGGGACGAAGATGACTGACAGGAGGATCCAGAGGATGTCCAGGACCTCAGCCTGCAGGGAGGAAGAGCCTGGGTCACCCCTGCCAGGCACCTGCACCCAGTATACTCAGCCACCTTTCATGGCCACATCTTAATTCTCAGTCTGCAGTCAGGGACAGTTTGCATAGACAAGTTCCCTCTGTCTGCACTGTCCTCTCTGTCCACCTGGAGACTTCTCAGTCACCTTTTTTTTTTTTTTTTAAAAGACAGGGTCTTGCTCTGTCACCCAGGCTGAAGTGCAGTGGTGCAATCTCAGCTCACTACAACCACTGCCTCCAGGGCTCAAGAGATTCTCCTGCCTCAGCCTCCCAAGTAGCTGGGATTACAGGTGCCTGCCACCACACTGGGCTAATTTTTGTATTTTTAGTAGAGACAGGGTTACACCATATTGGCCAGACTGGTCTTGAATTCCTGAGCTCAAGTGACCCGCCTGCCTCGGGCTCCCACAAGTGCTGGAATTACAGGTATGAGCCACTGTACCTGGTCTCGTATTCAACTTTTAAAACCCAGCTTCCAGGCTGGCTGCAGTGGCTGACACCTATAATTCCAGCACTTTGGGAGGCTGAGACAGGAGGATTGTTTGAGGCCAGGAGTTTCAGACAGGCCGGGCAACATAAGGAGATTTTATCTCTATAATTTTTTTTTTTTTGAGACAGAGTCTCACTCTGTCGCCCAGGCTGGAGGACAGTGGCTTGATCTTGGCTCACTGTAACCTCCGTCTCCCAGGTTCAAGCAATTCTCATGCCTCAGCCTCCCAAGTAGCTGGGATTACAGGCGTGCACCACTAAGCCCAGCTAATTTTTTTGTATTTTTAGTAGAGACGGGGTTTCACCATGTTGACCAGGTTGGTCTTGAACTCCTGACCTCAGGTGATCCACCCACCTCGGCCTCCCAAAGTGTTGGGATTACAGGCGTGAGCCACTGCACCCGGCCTACAAAAAATTGTTTAAAAAATTAGCCGGGTGCCGTGGTGCACGCCTGTAGTCCCAGTTACTTGAGAGGATCTCTTGAGCCCAGGAGTTTGAGGCTGCAGTGAGCTATGATCATGGCATTGCACTCCAGTGTGGGAGACAGAGTGAGAACCAGTCTCTTAAAAAAAGAAAAAAAACAAGTCCAGCTTCCAACACCCATCCTCTGGCAGACATTGACTATTTCTGTTGGGTCTGAGCTTTGAAGGATGAACAGGAGTTACTAAGCAAAGGGCATTCTGGACAGAAGGAAAAGTGTGCCTATCAGCATGATGGTGCACAGCTGTTTTATGTTTGCATGGTGAGGAACACAGAGTCAAAGGGAGCAAGGTTGTCAGGGACCTGATAGGTTGGTCAAGATGTTTGACCCTTTTCTACTTGGCCACTAGGAAGCTCCCTTTGCATCAGATTTTCTGTCTCTAACTCCCAGCAGGCTTGGAAGCTGGATCTGCCTACACTTCGCCAGGCCACCTACCGGATGTCAGCACTCAGCCGGCGGCCATAGTCCACCTCGCTGCGCTCCCACCCCTCCTCCCGGTCTTCACTGAAGCTCCTTTCAGCAAAGGTAGGAGTGGGCTGGACGGCCAGGAACTCAGAGCTGCTGTAGACCTGGGAGGCAAGACAAAAGAATGTTAAGCCAGGTGTGGTGGCTCATGCCTATAATCCCAGCACTTTCAGAGGCCCAGCCGGGAGGATCACTTGAGCCCAGGAGTTTGAGACCAGCCTGGGCAACATAGCAAAACCCTGTCTCAAAAAAAGAAAAAAGAAAAAAAGAAAGAAACCCAAACAAAAAAACCAGTAAAAACAAAGGTGGCAAGAAAGCTGGCTTAGACTGGGTGTGGTGGCTCATGCCTGTAATCCTAGCACTTTGGGAGGCTGAGGTGGGTGGATCACTTGAGGTCAGGCGTTCAAGACCAGCCTGGCCAACATGGTGAAAACCTGTCTGTTCTACAAATACAAAAATTAGCTGGGTGTGGTGGTGCATGCCTGTAGTCCCAGCCTCTTGGGAGGGTGAGGCAGGAGAATGGCTTGAACCTGAAAGGCAGAGGTTGCAGTGAGCCGTGATCGTGCCACTGCACTCCAGCCTGGGAGACAGAACGAGACTCTGTTTCAAAAAAAAACAAAAGAAAGCTGGCTTAGTCGAGTGATTCCTATGTGCCAGGTGCTTCAGTATGAGTCACTTCCCTAAATCCTCACTCCCCACATCCCTAAAAGAGCATAGACTTTAGCCCACTGTACAGATGGAAAAACTGAGGCTCAGGGGCCAGGCTACCAGGCTGGGTTTTTGCCGCTGACTAGAAAGTCCTGCCTGGGGCCCAGGCCTAAAGCAGAGCAGAGCGTTTTTTGATCAAATCATAAACAAAGTAGGGAATGTGACTTAAGCTCATGAGGTTATAAAATAACACCCAGGGCCAGGCTCGGTGGTTCATGCCTTTAATCCCAGGGCTTTGGGAGGCTGAGGTGGGCGGAATGCTTGAGGACAGGAGTTTGAGACCAGCCTGGCCAACATGGTGAAACCCCATCTCTACTAAAAATACAAAAAATTTACCAGGTGCGGTGGCTCATGCCTGTAATCCCAGCATTTTGGGAGGCCGAGGCAGGAGGATAGCCTGAGGTCAGGAGTTTGAGACCAGCCTGGCCAACATGGTGAAACCCTGTCTGTACTAAAAATACGAAAAATTAGCCGGGCGTGGTGGCAGGTGCCTGTAATCCCAGCTACTCAGGAGGCTGAGGCAGGAGAATTGCTTGAACCCAGGAGGCAGAGTTGCAGTGAACCGAGACCGCGCCACTGCACTCCAGCCTGGGCAACACAGCGAGACTCAGTCTCAAACAAAATAAAACAAAACAAAAAAGCAATACAATTCCTAGCACTTTGGGAGGCCGAGGTGGGAGGAACACTTAAGCCCAGGAGTTTGAGACCGGCCTGGGCAGCATAGCGAGACCCCATCTCTACAGAACAAAACAAAGCAAAACCAAAAAAACAGATACGAAAGCACACAGACATCACGCAATGTTTCCCGAGCAGTGGCTCCCTCCGGGGCCCAGGCCCACCTTGCTGAACCGGTGGGAGCAGGAGGAGAACTGGGGGATCTCTGTGGATGATTCTTCATCATTGGTTTCGTCGTCCTCGGAGCCCAGGTGGCGGTAACGTTCCGAACGTGCTGTGGGAGGGAGAGGCACGTGCAGCACGCCTGATGCCCAGAGATGATCTCGAGGGCAGTGTGGCGATGTAGGGAGGGCATCTCAGGATAGGGTCATTGCCAGGGCAAAGGCTCTGAGGTAGGACAGTGCCTGGTGTGTTTAAGGACCACAGGAGGCTTGGGGGGCAGAGGAGATATCTGGGGATTAACACCAGCTGTGTCCCTAAAAAGTTGTGGGGCTGGGCGCGGTGGCTCACGCCTGTAATCCCAGCACTTTGGGAGGCCAGGGCGGGTGGATCACTTGAGGTCAGGAGTTCGAGACCAGCCTGGCCAACATGGTGAAACCCCATCTCTACTAAAAATACAAATATTAGCTGGGCGGTAGTGGTACGCGCCTGTAATCCCAGCTACTTGGGAGGCTGAGGCAGGAGAATCGCTTGAGCCTGGGAGGCGGAGGTTGTGGTGAGTCAAAATCGCACCACTGCACTCCAGCCTGGGTGACAGAGCGAGACTCTCAAAAAATAAATAATTAAAAAGTTGTGGGATCAATTAGCCAAGCATGGTGGCGGGCACCTGTAATCCCAGCTACTCGGGAGGCTGAGGCAGATAATTGCTTGAACCCGGGAGGCAGAGGTTTCAGTGAGCCGAGATCGCACCACTGCACTCCAGCCTGGGCGACAGAGCCAGACTCTGTCTCAAAACAAAAAAGCTGTGGGACCAGGGGCGGGAATTCCTATTTCCGAGCTTCGGTGATTCCTTGAGATGGGTCACACAGAATTAAGTAAAATTGTGCATCTCTTTTTCTTTTTTTTTTCTTTTTTGAGGCAGAGTTTTGCTCTTGTTGCCCAGGCTGGAGTACAATGGCACCATCTCAGCTCACCACAACCTCCACCGCCCGGGTTCAAGCAATTCTCGTGCCTTAGCCTCCCAAATAGCTGGGATTACAGGCGCCCGCCACCATGCCTGCCTAATTTTTTGTATTTTTAGTAGAGATGGAGTTTCTCCATGTTGGTCAGGCTGGTCTTGAACTCCTGACCTCAGGTGATCTGCCCACCTTGACCTCCCAAAGTGCTGGGATTAAAGGCTTGGGCCACCGCACCTGGCCAAAATTGTGCATCTCAAACATAAAGGATGTTCCTCATTTTACAGAAGAGGAAACAGAAGCTCAGAGAAGACCTCTGACATGAAGCAAGTTCTGAAGGAGGTGCTGGACACTGAAGGGCAGGACCACCAGGTGGGGAGAGACAGTCATTCCTCAGAGCTCACCTACAGTGAGTGCCCCTGCAGGGACGCCTCCACTAAAGCTGCACGAGGCGCCCTACCCTCCTGGGTGACAGATGGGGCCCCATGCCTGGTCAGGGACGGACACCCAGGAGGCCCAATGTGCTGGGGAACCCCAGACAAGGGTCTGCCACACTTGGTGCCTTGGTTTCTTCTTCTGAAGCCTGAGGGATGCTGTGGCCTCCTGAGCCCAGACGCACAAGAAATCCAGCCAGGGGGCAGCCGACACATGCCCTAGATTCTTGGAAGGCTCAGAAAGTTGGAAGCTCCAGGCCTAGGGTGAGGTGCCAAGCTCGGGTGGAACGCCTGGCACACAGCCCTCTGCACCCAGGGATTGAGGGATGGCAGAGCCCCCCACCCCCGCCGGGGGGACCCCTCCTTACTGTCAAAGTAGCTGGTATCATCCTCGGCTTCAAGCTGGGGCACGAACTCGGCTTTGTGTCGGAGAAGCCCTGCCCAGTCCAGGGCCAGGAAAAAGGGGTGCTGCTTCACTTCATGGGTGCCACCTGCAGATATGCCCAGCTGAGCCCTGCGGGTCCTCGCCTCACCTGCCACAGGATGCCCACCACCCCCCACTGCCGATGCTGGACACAGGGTGGGGACAACACAGAACCAAAAAAATGGGCTGGGCACAGTGGCTCACGCCTATAATCCCAGCACTTTGGGAGGCCAAGAAGGGAGGATCACCTGAGGTCAGGAGTTCAAGACCAGCCTGGCCAACATGGCAAAACCCCGTCTCTACTAAAAATACAAAAATTAGCTGGGTGTGGTGGCGGGTGCCTGTATTCCCAGCTACACGGGAGGCTGAGGCAAGAGAATCGCTTCAACCTGGGAGGTGGAAATTGCAGCAATGAGCCAAGATAGCACCACTGCACTCTGACCTGGGCAACAAAGCGAGACTCCATCTCAAAAAATAACAACAACAGAAAAAAACAAAGAAAAGAAAAAAAAAGAATCAGAAAAATGAGAACAAAAAAAAATCCACTGTCATTTAGGAGCCTGGAGAGGGACCAAGTCGGGATTCAGACCCAGGCCAGCAGCCAAGCATGGTGGCTCATGCCTGTGATGCCAGTACTTTGGGAGGCTGGGGCGGGCAGATCACTTGAGGTCAGGAGTTTGAGACCAGCCCGGGCAACACAGTGAAATCTCGTCTCTACAAAAAGTACAAAAATTAGCCAGGCACGATGGCACATGCCTATGGTTCCAGCTACTCGGAAGGCTGAGGTAGGAGGATCACTTGAGCCTGGGAGGTAGAGGTTGCAGTGAGCCAAGATTGTGCAACTCCACTCCAGCCTGGGTGACAGAGTGAGATCTAATCTCAGAAAAATAAAAAAATAAAAAAGCACCCAGGCTGCCCAGGTTCCAAAGATTCTGTACTTCTCTCTGCTCCCATCTGGGACCACACCACCTAGAGAAAGCCCAGGGCCTTACGACGGCCTCCTTCCTGGGCTTCTCCCACTTGTTTCTGCTCCACGGAGCAGGTGATGATCCCCAACCTTGGACTCAACCATCTCCCATAGCGAAGCTTCACTCATGAACAGGAGCCACAGTGGCCACGTGACGGGTGGCTGCATGAGTCTCAAAAGGTCCCTTAATGATTAACCAGGTGGCTGGGAAAACTGGGACAGTGGGATCTTCCGGGTTGGGCCTTTGACACAGGTCCTGGTGACTTCACAGCCTCACATACTTATTCAGGCTCAGTGCTCCTTGTGGGCACCAGACCCAGCTACTTCCTATTCTTTCCAAGGTCTTCTGATAGTTCCTGGAGACCTCCTATGCACCCTTCAAAACCCCAGCTGCAAACCCCCTCCTCCATGCAGCTTCCCAAGTAGAACTCTTGTCTACCCCAGGCACTATCCCTCCCCCTGTTTCCTGGGTCCCAGGGCCTGAAGGAGCCACCCACCTGGGTTCTCCCCCACACTACATACCAGTGCCCAGACGGTCCAGTGGGCTCTGCCGGAGCAACCTGGTGATGAGGTCCTGGGCGTCCGCTGGAAGGGCCTCGTCTCCCTCTGGCCACATGATCTCATCTAAAATGAGGGAGGGAGGGAGAAGGCAGGGGTACCCCTTTCTAGTACCATCCACCATTTCCCCTCACTTCACTGTACTCCAAGCCACTGGCCTCCTCTGCCCCTTCAACGTGCCAGGCTCGGTACCCACTGACAGCCTTTGCCGTGGCTGTGCCCTGTGCTCAGAGCCACCTTTCCCTTTTCTGTCTCTATGGCTTCCTCTCATTCTCAGGTTCTTGCAGGTCTCTGCTCACATGTCACTTCTTTTTTTTTAATTTTTTGAGATGGAGTCTCGCTCTGTCGCCCAGGCTGGAGTGCAGTGGCACAATCTCAGCTCACTGCAACCTCCGCCTCCTGGGTTCATGTGATTCTCTTGCCTCAGCCTCCCAAGTAGCTGGGATTACAGGTGCCCGCCACCACGCTCGGCTAATTTTTGTATTTTCAGTAGAGATGGGGTTTCATGTTGTCCAGGTCTTGAACTCCTGGCCTTATATGATCCTCCCGCCTTAGCCTCCCAAAGTGCTGGAATTACAGGTGTGAGCCACCATGCCCAGCCTCACATGTCATTTCAGTGAAGACTCCATGACCCCATAATTAATCCAGCCATCCGTCTCACTCAGCACCCCGCCGCCTCCGACCTGGCATCCAACTCCCTCCCATCTTCCTGCTTCTCTCCCTGACATGCGGGTGGAGGACCGCTGCCCAGAGCTCTGGTGGGGCTGCAGCTCAAACCCGGGCCCGTGGAGGAAACGCACCGCTGACCACCTGACCGAAGAGTTCCTCGGGGGTGTCTCCAAAGAAAGGCACGCAGCCCACCAGAAACTCATAGAGGACGACGCCCATGGCCCACCAGTCCACTGGCTTCCCATAGCCCTGGCGGAAGATCACCTCGGGGGCTATGTACTCCGGTGTTCCACACACCTAGGCCAGGCAGAATGGGGAAACTGAGACCAGCCCCCAGCCCAAGAGAGGCCACAGGAGAGAGGAGGCAGCGTCCCAGGGCTTCCCACCCACCTGCCCACCCACCTGCTTGTCTATGAACTCTCGGGCGTCCTTCTCGATGTGGCCCTCGTAGAGGTTGGTGGCCATGCTCATGAGGCCGATCTTGGACAGGCCAAAGTCCGTGAGCTTGATGTGGCCAAGCGAGGTGATGAGCAGGCTGTGGGCAGGCAAGGGGTGTGCTCAGGGCTGGGGAGCCGGGGTGCCTGGCCACTCCTTCTGCCCTAGACCTTGGCTCCACCTGACATGGGTGGAGCTCTGCCTCCAATTCCTGGGCCCTAGGGATCCTCCTGCTCAGCCTCCCAAGTAGCTGAAACTACAGGTGCACACCACCACACCCAGCTGTTTTCTTCTTCTTTTTTTTTTTTTTTGTAGATATGAGGTCTTGCTATGTTGCCCAGCCTGGTCTTGAATTGCTGGCCCCAAGCAATCCTCTCACCTTTGAAAGTGCTGGCATGACAGGTGTGAGCCAGCATGCCTGGTCTCTACTGTGTGTGTGTATAGGTGTATGTGTGTATATATATGTGTATGTGTGTGTGTGTGTGTGTGTGTGTATATATATATTTTTTAGACATAGTTTTGCTCTGTCGCCCAGGCTGGAGTACAGTGGCACGATCTCGGCTCACTGCACCCTCCATCTCCCGGGTACA